ACCAGGGTGCCCATCCCATTCACCAGCAGAAATGATGTCTGTGATTGGGTTCCTTCAGCAGCATTTCTCCTGTTGTGCTCGATTTATCTGTAATAACTATGTGCCTTCCATGATGCTGAGGTGAGTCTGCTAATCCCATTAAATAACTGCAGGAGAGCAGAGCTTGCACTGTGCTAAACTCAGCCTATCTTTCACGCAAGTGGTTTGGGACAATGAAGTTAGAAGTTTTGACAGAGGTGACTTTGCATTAGCCTGATGTTTCATGACTGAAGCTATCTGAGGTCCACAAGAAGACCTACTGCAAAATCAGGGCTGATATTCTGTCTGTTGGTTAGAAAAAGAAGAGAAAGAAATGAAAAAGGGAGAGAATTCTTAAATATTTGTGCAGTCCTAACCTTGCTGTGATTTCACCAGGACTGTTTCACACTAATTGAAGTACAAAACTGTATGTCTTTGCAGAACTGGTCATTTATTCCAGCCAGCCAGGCAATTCTCTTTTGTCCTGAAGGAAGCAATCAAATTCCTTCTGTAATTTTGACAGAAATAAAACCCACTACCATCTAAAAAAGGACATTTATATAAAAGTGACTAGTCTACGGTAACATCCTTAAATGCTACAGCTCACAGTAATTTTACTGTGTTGGTTATAGTGCGTAGTAAATGTGGTCATGTGTTTGTAAGTATTGCCTTGGAAAAATTTGTATGTTCCTATACAGGACCGAAGATGACAAACAAAAATACAACTTAAGATAGTAAACAGGAAAAAGCAATAAGGCATTTTCTTTCCCCTGACAATGCTCTCTCCTTTTCATTGATCATCCATATTAACTGGAGCTCTAGGATGACAACACAAATTGCTGACCTTCACAGCAGTGCACATCACAAGGGAGCATTTTTCTGGGAAGAGACTGAAAGAAATACAGTCCCACTGCTTTGCAAGTGTTTTAAATAGTAATATTATATAGCACCGACAATGTTTATATGGTTAGATATTTGGATTATAGATTCTTTAGATGAACATAACTATAATCAAATGTAATATAAATAAAACAAAATAAAAGCTACAAAGGTATAGATAATAGCAAATAATAAATAGGTAGTTGGGGGAGTCTATGGCAAATAAGGAATCTGTAACATGATATACTCTAGGACAGAGACAGTGGATACATTTTACCAAATGTTTACAGGAGTTTTTCTGATAAAGACAGCTTAGTTTTGGAACTGCTTACACAACCAGCTGTATAAAATATGCTGCTAAAATATGCTGTTTTTAAAATCCTGATGGGTTGAACTGCAAGTTCCATGGTATTTTGTATCTCAAGGGAAATTTTAAAAATGGAAATTAAAAAGCAGCTGGTTTTGTGCACCCTACAGCATTCTCTAAAGGCGTCTGAATAGACTATTTTGCCTGAGAAATATCATCATTTTGGACAAATCAAATTACTGCTTTTGTGCCTCATTTGTATTGTACCTCATTTGTGTGTGTATTTTGTGCCTCATTTGTATAGGTTTTTTTTTTTCACCTTGCAGATACTCATAAAGCTAGATAGATAAATGGTTATAAACTGCTTTGGAATACTTTGACAGAAGATACACTATGTGTGTACAGTACTAGGACTTACTGACACAAATTATGACTTCCCCGACAGGCTTTATCTTCCATGAAAGATCAAAAGAAAATTGAGGACTAAGAAAAGGCAGCTTACTGAAAACTGTACTAAATATTTTACAACAGTATTCCTCCTGAAGATTTTCATGTGTTTTACCCTCAGGTTAATAACATCCTTCAGCAAGTTATCACCTCAAGATAAAGGTTTTGTGAAAGAAATAAATTATATATGAAACTGAATGAAATGAAACTTTACAACTCTCAATTTGGGACCCTAATGAGAAATGGATGGTGAGAGGTGGAAGATGAATTTCTCAGAGAATGCAACAGAAAGATGCACTATTAATCATGAAATCCACCAGACTTTAGCCCCTGTGGTATACATCTTTGTGTTTGTAGTGGGTTTCCCAGCAAACTGCCTCTCACTGTACTATGGATATCTACAGATCAAGGCTAAAAATGAACTGGGTATTTATCTTTGCAACTTGACTGTAGCAGACCTCTTGTACATTTTTTCTTTGCCTTTCTGGCTCCAGTATGTTTTGCAGCATGACAACTGGACATATAATGAACTACTGTGCAAAATCTGTGGCACTCTTTTATATGAGAATATTTACATCAGCGTGGGCTTCCTCTGCTGCATCTCCATCGATCGCTATCTCGCTGTCGTGCACCCTTTTCGGTTCCATCAGTTTCGGACGCTGAAGGCTGCTGCGATCGTAAGCACTGTTATCTGGGCCAAAGAAATCATGACATGTTGGTTTGTGTTTACACATGGGGTAACCAGCATGGACGCTGACAGCCACGTGGTGTGCTTTGAGCATTACCCCATCAAAGCATGGGAGCACAACGTCAACTACTACCGCTTCTCGGCGGGCTTCCTGTTCCCCTTCTTCCTGCTGGCCTTCTCTTACTGCGGAATCTTACGTGTTGTCCACAAGAGTCATGGCACTCAAAAGAAGAAGAAAATTCAAATTAAGCGACTGGTTTCCAGCACCGTTTTCATTTTTTTGGTTTGCTTTGGACCGTATCACATCCTACTTGTAGTTCGCAGCTTGTTTGAGAATGACTGCTCATTTGCCGAGAAAATATTTAACATTTACCATTTCTCTCTCCTGTTGACTACATTTAACTGTGTTGCTGACCCAATGTTGTACTGCTTTTCCAGTGAAAGCACTTACCAGAACTTCGCCAAGATGCGAGACTCCTGTTTAACATGTTTAGGCTGCCTAAGAGCTGAAAGTAAGGAAAGCTACCAGCTGAATGCTCCAGAACCCTCCAACAAGTCACAAGATGAGCAAGAGCCAGCGTTATTGCAAAGATCACATAATACTGCTGAAATAAAGGGCTCCTCTACACTTAACTTAGGCAGCCTATAGTATTCATCAAAAAATATACTCATCCAAAATCTTCACGTATGACTGTGTTGTGTATACACCTGATTTATCCATATATTACAACTATTTTACCTCCCAAAGGCTTATTAGCTATGCAGTATAGTGAGATAGTTCCTGGAGGGGCTTGGGCCTTGACTATAGTGAAGAAAATATAAATTAAGAGTTCAGTTCCAATCACTGTCTACTGCCAGTATGGCGCAACTCAGAAACTGTACTCCTGACACTCAACTTTTGGCCATGACCACTTTGACTGAAATAAATCACGGTGGGGCACTGTGAAACACTCTTTAACTGCTATTTTTTGTGCCTGTCACAGCTAGAGAAAAAAGAAATCTCAAAGCAGTCATTATCTGTTGAAAAGGTTGGAGACAGAACAAATAAAATGTCCTCGTAAGTATTTTTAAAAGAAAAAAATCACATTTGTGCATTTTTTCTGTAACTCTCCAAAATATTCCTCCTCAAGCCTGTTTCAAGTCCTGCAGAGACCTTTCCAGAGCCCACCTGCTAAAACAAGCAGTCGGATAATGCGAGATGTCCTGGAAGAGCATGCACAAGAACCTCACTGTCCACTGAGACCTTTGGGCTGTTGACTGCTGATCAAATCTCACACTGTTGAACCTCGTCATAAGGCTCCTATTGACTTCAAGAGGGTCAGGTTATCAAGAACAGGCTCTGACAGAGAAAAAAATCATTCAGTCCGTGGACTCCAAAAAGAACAGGAGGTTGGTAGTTCCTGAGGTGCCTTTAACCCATACAATTTTTTGAGTCACTGTGTTCAAAATTAAATTTAATCTGAATTCTTTTAAATCTTGCTAAAATTTGAGATTATGTCCTGGCAAATACATCTTGTGCAGCACAAACTGTGCAAGCAATTAATTAAAAGTGCATTCCCAGTGAACCTGTTAAATGGATTCAGTTTAAATTCCATATTCATGGATGTATATTCAGATTTATATATATATCTATGAATATAGAATTATACATATATACGGATAACACAGATAGTTATTATAGTTTAGGGTCTGGTCATTTTTCAGTAAATATGGTATCAAAAATATGTTGATGGATGTATGGATGCTCTATGTATTTTCTAGTTTGGAAAAGAGAAACAAAATACAGGAATAACTAGAGATAATGACAATTAAAGATCTGGGAATTGAGGTCTATCCTCTTGCTTCTGCTAGCGCCCTTTCTCTAGTTTCTGACTTCCGTTTATTAAACTAAAGAAACCTGTCCATTTCTTGTCATCTGATCTTCATGCTTTCTCCTCCTCTCTCCTGTATATTGCCTTGTCATTTTGTTTCTTCTCTGCCTTCAGACCTTCCTGAAACACCTCTCTCTCTCTCTCTGCAACCCAGAATTGATAATATGCAGCAGTATAGTGGTGCTTTTTTTCCAGGAGGTTTTCCAGACAGACCTGCATCTGGTATCTCAAAGATGTCCTTGCAACCTTGTTTATCAGGCAGTATATTCTTAAAAGCCCGTATGTCCTAAGCGTTTTCTGGAGGCCCCCTTGAGAGTGCAATGTTAGATATAATTAGGGGTGTGTTTAATAAATAATGCCTTTATTACATTCTTCCTATATTTATTCAGCCTGTGTTTGATGTAACTCTCTTCTGGCTTTGGCCCACAGATTCCTTTTAAGAAACTACAGATCCTCTCCTCCCCTCCTTTTGAAGAAAGGATTCGTGTCCTCACTCCCAAGAGGGGATTAGATTTGCTTAGATTAACATTTGGTTTGTTTAATTCTTTTATGCATTTCTTTATACTTAGACCACTCACCATGCTGAATTAATTACCTTGCACATGCATTTTTCTTCTGACTGTCAGTGCTGCTTAGCTTTCCCTTCTCCTAATCCTTCTCCTAGTCTCTTCTGCCTTTCCGTGCCAGGGGTCCATAATGCCAGGGCTCGCGTGTCGTGTTGGCCCAGGGAGCCACATCTTCAACTACTCGGCTCTGTGACCTGACATGCTGTAAGAAACACACAGGGTTTGTTCTAAGATGAAATATTTGTTGTCTTGTTTGTGTTTTACTTTTTTACTGTTATCCACATTGTTTAGATTAGACAGCTGGAAGGCAGAGCATGCCATACTGCAATCAAATTGTTATCTGACAGATTAAGACTTCTCTGAGTTGGTGTATTTCTGGTTTCAACTTTAGCTCAGCTGCAGCAGTTTGAAAGAGGGAAACGTGTAATAAAGTGCAGCATTTTGCTACAATTCTCAGCATTGAACCTATTAACCAGAAAGGGAAGTATTTGGGCTTCGCTTGTCTAAACCTGAAGTCAATATTTCATTGATTCTTCCTACATAGGAACTGCTAGGATTAGTCTGCAGAACCAGCTGCCATGTAAGGAGTGCAGCTCTCAGAACTTTTCATTTTGTGAAGCAAGTCGAGCAGAGGTTGGACGTTTGTGGCCAGAGATGTGCTGCACATTGCTGTCAGATTAATCAGGAGCTTGGCATGGAACAGGAGAAGGGATTGAAAAACACTCATCAGAGAAAGAGAAAAATAAATTATTACGTTTTATTTTTCTTAACCAAATCTGTTAAAAACTGTGTTTTGGAAAAAAGACAGTATAAGCTTACTGGATTAAGTTCTCTTGTCCAAAGTTAATATTCAGAAAGAATCCTCTATAAATAGGATGCTGTTGGTGTAATGTCAGTAGGCTGCTGAGCATGTAGGTGCACATGTTCACATCTCTCTAAAAGTTAATGCATCTCTTACTTACACAAGGGCAAAAATGTTAAATTCACTTGCCCAGAAGAAAGGCTGATGCCCTAAAAGTCTGCAGCATTTCCTGCAGTCTATTTCCTAGAAACGGACTAAATATATAAATAAACTACTAACCTGAAGGAGACAAGCAGTGTAGCCTACCTTTTACATGGAAACTCTGCATAGTTATCCTCATTAGTTCAGTTGAAACTCTCCCCAGTGTCCTCACCATTTCAGCAACTCTTCACCACCAGCAGAGTGGTTTTCAACCGCCCTGCTTCACTGCAGCTGCTTTCTGCACCACAAAGTATTTTTAAATCCAACTTGCCACAAGAGTTACTTCCTGTTGCAGCTATGAGGTTAATGAAACAGGAACAGCAATTCAATAACATTTCATTTTTATTATAAGTTTTCTTGGTAGAGCCAGATCACTGCTTAGTATGTACTATCACTTAATATCCAATATCCATTACAAGATTACAGAAAACAAAGGTAACCAAAAGAGGATCATATCCCCTTCCTGCTACTCAGAGAGGTAACAAAAAAAAAAAAAAAAAAAAGGTTGTGCGTGGCTGAGGCACTAGAGACTGAGTGCCTAGAGATGAAAAATACCACATTTAAAGACATAGAACCAACTTTATCTGATATTTTGAACCTTGTTAGTAGGTTAGGAATAAGGAAATAGCATAGGAGACATTCCTGATTTTTAAATCGTTAGGGTAAGTCACTGCTGCACTTCTTGAAGCAGCTTTTCAATCATAAGTGAATGGGTGTTATAGAAGGGCAGACCATCCACTTCCATTTCTAGGCTGGCAGTTTTTCCGCTGCGGACCCCATGTTGCACAAGTGCTTTCAGAAACTTTTCTTCCTTTAAAAAAAATAAATACAATATTATTAAAATCCTGAATCTGCCAAGAAAGCTCATCAAGTTTTTTTTTTTTTTTTTTTACATCTTCCAGGGTTCTTTTGGATAGCAATTTGCAAATACCACCATTTAGTTTGGAACAAAGAATAGACTTAGCAGCTGGAACTTAGTGACTGACAAATGGCAATATTCATGGCTCCTATTTAAAATAAAACAAAAGCACATTACAAAAACCTGATTCCTCTCTGTCTGGTTTCAAAATCCTAAATTGCACAAATCTGAATCAGAGGAAACTTCATCTAAATACCTCAAAAATTATCTGATCTTTCCATAATCTAGCAGCTAACTGCAGATGCCTTTTAAATAAAAAAGACCAACAGTAAAGAAAGACACATCAAGGGAGAAAAAACAAAAAAAAGGTTACAGAGGGAAAAGGTACCAGAATGGGGCTGCACAAACACTTTCTTCCCAATTTATTCAGTGATTCCTATCTGCCTGTCTTCTGTTGATTTTTGTAAGAATTCTGGTTGTTAACGGATGAGAAAAAGAAAAGTTTGAAATGCTTTTCTTGGAATTCGCTGAAGTAGCATATGATTTCCTTTGTTTGGGACCACAATTCAATTTCATGTTTATAACAGCTTTTTTTTCCTCCTAACAGCAATGCAAGCAGATAACAAAGCATGTTCCAAGTTGAGATTTAATGTACACCGAGGGAATGAAATTCTTCATTGAGAGATACAGGCCGGTTATCAGTGCAAGACAAAAAGATGGGACAAAATCAGAGAAATTAAAGAGCCTGGTTTCCCATGGAGTAAAGTAGTTCAGAAGATTTGCTCCAAAATGTTTTTGTGAAAAGCCACAGCATCAGAAGCAGCATTAAAAGGGATCTCTCTTCTCTCTAGGTACTCGTTTTTGTGAAATTTGCCAGAACCTCAAAATTTTGAAACGCCCTTCTGTCAAATGTTGAACATGCTGTTCAATTTTGACCAAGCTGCTTGCAGGGGACACTTCCAAAACGACAGGTAATGTCATCATATATCCCTTTTTTCTTATATATGTCAATATGTATATTTATAGAACACTGTGCTGCAATAATGACACATTCCATTTTCTATAGGAATTATGAAAAAAGCTTTTAAGGCAGCAGTGCATAAATGATCTGCTCTTTCAGTAATCTTTAAGAATTTTGAAGGTAGATTCAAAATGTTCTTCTAGCTACTCTGCTTTTCATTTAACATTAAATGTTCTCATTAAAATTCCTTATACTGCCTTAGCATTTCCTAAAGACAGAATTTATTTCATTAATTCAGTTAATAAAAAGTTAAGAAAAAGTCCACTCTTAGCTTCCCTCCCCCAGCACTGTAATGTGCATAATGTCTTTTAAATAGTCATAGATAAGACTTTTTGGTTTTTTCTTTGCTGGGAATGCCTTTTTGGTCTTTATTCTACTGTTTTTATTTCCATTTGTGTGAGATCCTGCTTTGATGGAAATTGTTACTGAAACTGCCTTACCAATTACCTTGACAGACAGTCATATAACTTGAAATGCTTTCTTGTTCCTGTACAATGATATCTACCAAAGCCATTTAGCTGCTTAAAAAAAAGGACCCCCAAAATTATAAAGTTAATATGTCTAGTATTCTCATTAAATGCCTAGAATTCTTTTTTTTTCCAAGGAAGGCTTCTAAACTATGCAATATCTTTAGACATGAATTTTGACATGCATTTTACATACTATTGTGTATAGTGAAAATATAAATACTTTTGGAATGATTAAAACATACATTCCATGGTCAATCAGCAGAGTTTTTATTATAAACTGGCTACTTTTTGAATATGTGCTATAAAAATCTGTCTCCCATTTGTGGGTAACACATGATTGTTCATAAGCACAGCAATAACTACTGCTTTTCTATTACAGAAAAATAGTTCCTTGGTGTCAATCTCAAGGTCATGCAACAACACATCAATGAAACAGCTACTTAGGGTTTTTTTTTCATAAAAAAATTGTCATTTGTCATTTATAAAATTCTAAATGTACATCAGCTTAGCTAATAGAAGTGATCCTTCTGTAAATATAAGTGTCTGACCTTTGTACATGAACGAGATTTCTCTTTGCATTCAGACTTTCTACATGTAAAGTGGCAAATCAGATCACTTAAATCACAGAAGAGAAACTTGAACTGGAAAATGTCTTCCTTGTTTTTATTTTTTTTCTCATAAATGTTTACACATCAGAGATCTCCAATCTGCTTGCAGGGGAAAAAAAGGCTTGCATAATATTGCACTATGTCTATAAACCTTATCCTACAGTCAAATTTTGCCATTGCCATTTGCAATGAGTATGCACAATGTACACAATGATTCCTCAGGTCTAAAGTGGTGCAATTCACTCACAGATCTCCCTTTAGCAAATAATTGTGGTGGAGATGAGCAAAAGAGGTTCAAGTTAATATAAAAAACATGGATGCTCTTTATTCAGACAAATCCCTTGTGAGTGACAGAACTAACAAAGGATTCTAAAATGAATGTCGCATCTTTTTATGTATTGGTCATTTATATAGAAATTCACATTCTTACTGGTTATAATTTCAAAATAAATATTATTCAGTTTATTTTTTAACATTAATAAAGACTACAGCAATAAAAAAAATGTTTAACACATTAATCAGTTTGTGAGACAGAAGAAAATGCAGAATTGTCTGTAGGATGTTCTGTGTTAGATAAATTTGCTTGCATAAGAATTAATGTATTCCTCCACAGTCACTTCACTATGTGTAACATCTGAAAAGTCAGACTGTGCTACTTGACATAATCATGATTCAGTGATTCTGTTCAACAACTTCCAGGTAGGAAAAGATTAGATGAAATTGTGTTTGTTTGTTTTATTTTTTTCTTAATCAAGTTCTCAGCACAGAACAAATGTTTCTTGGTATCTCTTATTCAGATATATGCAGAGAATAATTTATGACTTTGGGACTCTGCTTTCAGCTCTCCACATTCAACACTACATTGCTGAGTGGGAATGGAGAGCTCCACAGTTCTGGGTTTTCTTGCAATTTTTTTTTGTCATTGCTTAAAGATTAAGGAGGCTTCAAAGAAATAACCTTTGTGTTTCTGGATAAGTGATTACCACCTGTGAGTTTCACACAAGTTTCATTTTTAGAAGAGAAAGCAAACACATTATAAGAAAGCTGTCTCATGCTTAGGGACTCAGTCAAATGTCTTCCTTCCAGTTATGCTTGCTTTTACAAATACATGAATATAAACACTGAGGTGGAGATAGTGATGCTTTTTTATCTTACCAGAACAATCATTACGAGCAGTAAAAGAAACTGCACTAGAAAGAAATTAGCCACAAAAACCATAAATGTCCTTTTTTCTTTTCTTTCTTTCTTTTTCTTTATAAGCTAATGGAGTATGTGAACACTAATGTGTTCAAGCTCAAGAAATCTCCTGCAGTGTTTACTGTTCCATGATTTATAATTAAAGGGTATCATATTCTCTTGCCAGATAATTTGTCATTTTCTTCTCACAAAACTATTTCCATTAATTTTATTTGAATAGATTTTACTATTAAACTTTCAATAGTCCTTTAATTTATTGGATCATTATCAACATTGCCATCTGGATGATTTAGTAAAACAAAAGCAAGAAGGATTTCAAGTATAGTATATCACGTTTAATTGCAATATCTCATTCCCAAGAATTTTCATCATACTAGTTTTTAGGATTTGTTAAAATAAAGGGAAATGAAGTACATATAACTGGAAAAAAAAGAAAAGTGTAAAGTAATCTTTAATTTTGGAGCTGAAAGGTCCCATATGTTTTGTTAAGTCAAAGATTAAGTACTTAGGTCTATGCTAAAAGTTGGGATCAGTTTCACTTATATATGTTTTATATAAGGAATCAAAACACCAGCAACTAAGAAAGAGGACCCTTCCCACAAAGTTAAACTATGAAACAATTACAAGATGTAATTGTGTTTAGGAAGGAGTTAAATACATGAGACTGTATTTAAAGACACAAGACGCTGGCACTGCAATTTTGAAGAATTGGTAAAACTTTAGGATACTTTATTTTGAACCCTCCATTTTTTAAACTGCTTTTGTCCAACTACTTATAGAAGTCACTTAGCTGGAGTGCGTAGAGGAAACAGAATCACATACTTCAAAGGGAATTTAGTGCGGTGAAAGGATTTTGACAGTCACTGAAATTGACTATTTTTTACATAAGAACAGACTACTTTAGCAGACAATTTCTTACCGTGCTTGTTAAAATAACTTGTAGCACTGTTCCATGCTGAAGTCACAAGGAATAACTTAATTTTTGAGAATTTTGTTGTTGACTCTGTCTTGAATTCTTTACAGACTACTCTAATAACAGTGTGGATGCTTGTTAACCAGGAATCCCATGAGACATGTGAAAGTAATGACTTCTAAGCTACTAAAGATTTAATGGCTGGTGACTGGGCTGGTAACTGCCTCTACCAACATGTCACCAGGAAGTCATAAGTCACTGGCTCTGCAGAAATTACCTTTGTAACAGATGGGAGTGCAGACAGCCAGACCATCTTCTTAGACAACTGTGGAAACCCAACAGCTTTCCTCAGATAGCGGTCATGTATTTCACAAGTGCTGAGAATATACAGAGCACAAGCAATGGCATAGCCTCCCCAGTTTGAGACCCCTGCAGAAAGAAAGTCACCATGAAACCAAACTGTAAATGATAATAATAATAACAATAATAAAGTAAACCAACAGTTATTGTAAATATACCTAACTTGCATAAGTCATTAAGCGATGAGTCTCCAGTAATGATGCTGAAAGGTAGCTGGGATATGAATTAACTATTAACGTTAATTTGAAACAGTTATTTCAGAAATACATGACCACTTAAGATATTAAAATGTTTTCATTTAGCATGTTGTAGACCAGTATTTCACACTGAATTTCTGCAATTTTCCTTCTATCTTAGCTTGTGGCTCGTTTTCCAACAAAGTCAAAACCTCTAATGGGTGTAGTCTATAAAACAATTGTACTTGGCTTAATGGGAAATCCACGAACTTTAAAGAGCCTTGTTAGATCTTGGTGTCTTTACCTAAGTGCACAGAGGTAAGAGATTTTGATAAAGTGTCATTCACCAGGCCAATTTTTGCTAAGGTCAGATTTTCTAATGGGGCATTGTAACATTCTGTAGAATTCCCTTTTGATCCCAAAGGATGACTGATTAAAGGATTCAGCTGTTTCATGAGACAGGAAGCCATGGTGAAACTAACTGTCCTGCTGATCTGTCTTTATACAGATCTGTGCAATATACAGAAAGACATTTTAATGGCATTAATACCCATAAATTATTGGTATGCTGTGGTCAAATCAGTTCACACTCTTTTAAACAGTATTTGACAGCTTCTCTGTTAAGATTTTATTGGAGAATGTTAGAGCTGAAATTTGCTGTGAGAAGTTATCACTTTACCCAACACTTTTTCCAGAGACAGAATAGCCGAATTTCCAAGAAGTGTAGAAATTGTTTTAGTGGTTGGAGTTTTCCTCATTTAAGTCCCTCTGAACACTGACAGCTGCTTTTGAAGTAAAAATCACCAGAAACAGCCAACTGCAGGTTATATATATGTATATATAGCCATAATAAGTAGATATAATTGTCACCTCGATCTCGTTTCTCACCAATAATTTGCATTGTTGCTGACACTTTTCGTATCAGCAGAGTTAGAAATATATGCTATTAGCATATGTTATATGATATTTTCTTTCTTTTCAAGTATCTGGGAGCCACTTGCACTGTGCCTTAAATATAAAAGGGAGCACTTGGTTCATAAATTGGTCCTTGCTGAATAGGTCTCTTTCACTATTCATTTTATTCACAGCTGATCAAAATGTTAGGGTAGAAAGGAATTTCAAATATAAAATCTTTTTTTTTTTGTTATATTCAAATTTACATTGTACAGATATCCAGGAATGGCTGTTGAAGATTTATTACTTTTTGCTATAAGAGCACAGCATCATTGATTTAAGCCTGATGGGGCTACATTCACAGAAGCTGATCATTTATACCAAAAATTCGCACATGCATAGATGCTTTTTTTATTATTATTTTCAAATAGTGTTCTGCGGTCTTCCTTGGTGTTTCATTTAGGTGTGACTTTTTTTTCAAGAATATTCAGGAGTTACATAACTATTTCCAATTAAGTGCAATTTCTGAACTGAATATCTTGTTTTCAGTCATTCTTTTTTTTTTAGTTGATTAACTATTAAAAAAATTGACATAATAAAGACAGATTTGTTTATTAATGATGACTCGGTCATATAAAGGAAGGCTCATACAGGTTACTTGGTAACACGGATGCTTTCTTTTCAATTCTCTTCTCAAACATTGATATCCCTCTCCCTGCAAAACATCTCTTACCAGCTACAATAGTAAAATCAGCTTCAACATCACAAGCTATAACATCTCCATTTTTAATGTACTTCTTTACAGCATCTTTTACTTTGCCCATTCCCAATTCATTTCCTCCATCTCCAACACCTTTATTAAAAGAAGAAAGAAGAAAGAATCAAAGGTGTATAAAAGCAGCATACATATAACAATCCATTTGTAAAGTAGCCAGTCTTCCCCAAGAGTCCCTGTGACAGTTCATATCTCCACATAAGGTGCTTTAACTTCCTTTTCATCAAAGTGTCTAAAACAGAAGGTGTAATTTTATCACATGCTAGCCTGTAACTATAGAGAAAATGGGCTTACACTGGTGCAGGGAAAAGAAATTGGATTTATCAGATGCTCATAAAGAGTAGACAGAATTAAGGTGGTAAGCTTACTGCTTATGGAAGGCCTTAAATAAATGTTCTACATAGTGCATTACATAAGTACATTAGCACAAACAGAGAGAAAAGATAGAAAATGAATCCAAAATAAAGCTGAAAAATTAACCTTAGATTCTATGAAAAAGCAAGCATAGAAAACTTCAACTCACTGTAAAGACACTTCTACTAATGAAAAGTAGAAAAGTGTGTTTGTTTTTTTTTATGTTCACATATTCTGGGTGATGGCCATTTTTGTTGGTCAAATAGAAACACCGTGTATTTGTGTTTTAAAAATTTTACAGTATCGATGATTTCAGTAAAATTCATGTTATTACCTATGATATTTCAAAAAAATCTTGGGTTGCCCCTGTGTTTGGGGCATAAAATTGTTAAGTATTGTCCAGAGACTTGGCATTAGGGATAATACATAAACTAACAGCTTATGTAAAAACTGGACTGTGCTTTTAGGAAGCTCATCTAGTTTGTCTTTTATCAGTGTAAAAAGATGCAACAAAATCCCTTTATTCAAACAGAAATTTAAGTTTCTCTTTTACATGTTAGTTTAAATGGCATTTTCTAAGTATGAAGATTTTTAAAGAAAAATACTAGCTAATGCTTGTGAAGCAGAATGTTCACTTGCAGAACAGTGCAAAGTGCCAAATCCTCATTGAATTTGAAATGAGACAAATGCGTAGCATGTGTTACAGGATTGAAACAGTATTTATAATTTACATTTCAAGTACAGAACATTGATAAAAAAATAACTTTTTAGTAACTATATAAATATTTCATTTAGATCTGTACTGAATTTCTTTTGTAAGTGAAATTCAAAGTTATTTTTCAACAGCAGTTTTGTATCTCGTTCCTAAAGCCTGTGTTGTTCAAAGCAGAGTATAACTGAGCGACATAACTTACATATAGGGATTGAAATGGCTAGATCTCAAGAAACTTTTTACCAGGCGTAATTTACTGATCAACCTATCAAGTTTGAGACATACTTTTCTTCAGTATTTACTCTTTTGCCACTAAACAGCTAATCTTTCTTTTTCAGAATTGTCTGCCTTAATATGCTACTCACCTTTATTTCAGCATGGGGATTAAATGGTGCCTTCTGAAATCTGTTGATAACACTTTACAAGTAGCTAAAAATATAATCTTGGTAACTCCAGCATTATCTATAGATATGCTATATCTATAGATATAGTAGTTATAGTTGTTTTTTAATAATTTGCGCTGAACACTTTGATTTTGCTTATATTCAAAACCTGAGATTTTGCTGTTAATATTCTTCAAAAAGGTGATTGTCCTTCAGACACCCTTCAGAGATCACATACAATTTCTTTAAAAGTGAAAGATGTTAATGTGTTTCTCGGATTTTTTTGTCAGCCTTAGTCAGCTTTTTCTTTCTTTATGGGACCTCTATGACTAGATAGATACACTGTTAATAGAACTGCTGCTTTGGTTGTGTCCTATTAGCATTACATTGAAAAGAAAAGAACATCACATCTTCAACATAGAGCATTTTCCTGTAGCATCTATTTGCTCTATATTTTGAGGACTACACATCACTCAGAATTTCCAAAGTGAGGTTCACCTGACAAGACAGAGTCATATACACATGAGCTAGTCAGTCAGGCTTGTTTCTTAAGTTAGCAGAGAGAAACAGACCCTTCAGACATGCAATTCATCTCCTCCCAAGGCAGACTTCTCTTATATAGATGCCAGAAACCAGACAAGATGAATCCACTGCTCCTAAAGGTCTGAGTCCTTTAGAGTCGAAGGAAAAATACCTCGTTCTGTCAGATTTTCTATGTAAGCTTTCACTGACTACATTAGTTTCTGACAGTACATTAATGAAAAATGCGGGAAACATCAGAATTCTGTGCTAAGCAGCACTTGCATGAAAGAGGAAGCAAGTGTGACCGCATTTTTTTCCTATAGTACTTTGAAAAAATTTTCACTAGCTCCTAAAAAGATGGCATATAACTGTGTACTATGACAGATGAATAAAAATTAGCATGCGGTTTGGTAACTTTTTCTGGAAAAAGACTCTGGAAATGAGTCCTTCTAGCCTCAGTCTTTCATATTTTCTTATTTTATATGTTCCTAAAGGTTGCTGCTTGCTCCACCATTTTTAATGATACCGAGATTCATAACATTATAGGCATTGTTCCTGATTTGTCTGCAGTCAGACCCCTAGATCAGATTTGTATTTTTAATACTAAACTTGAACTTAGTTTAAATGCAAAACTTGACAGTGACTAATATGTAACTAACGTTCTAATATTTCCTTTGTCCAACTACTAAAACAGTGCTTCTTGCAGGTGAGCATGCTGCATAAACACTTCTGTAATACTAAAAACTTTATATTTTTATTATTCTTTCCTTTTCTATTCAGTTACCAAGTACTCCACTCAAATGGGTGTTGTACAATATTGGCATTTAACTTGGAACTAGATTTGTGCCTCCAAATTCCTATTTAACACAAAGACAGCCTTCCTAGAAAAGATATCATAATCAGAAGCAATACATTATCATCATAAGTGACAACATGCAAAGGCCACAACCCAGATTAGTTCTCTGTTATGTTAGACTTTGCATGAATACATTGAAAAAGTCAACAGCAATCCCGAAGAAATTATAATGAAACTAAAAGTCACACACGAAAAGTTAGTGTGATAGTTACAGAATGAATACAAGCTGAAGGTAAAAGACATTTAAACTAGGTAACTGCCTTTTTTCTATAGATATTCAATTAGTTATCCAGTGTACTACATTAATGCACACAAATCCACAGGAGATCAGAGATCCCTTCATTCACTTTTGAAGTTGAATCTTTTTCTATGCATACATGTCTTCAGAGAAAATTCATGGCAGTGGGCTACAGCAGTGGACAACTGATTCTTTCCCTTGTACTTGCAAAATCCTGGTATTTTTAACTAATAACATTTTATAGTGTATTTGAATATATAGGTGCAGTTGAAAACAGACTAAGTACTGCTGGACAGAATCAGAATCCCACCATGGAGAACAGTGGCAAGGACCCTTATTGCTAATTTCATTTAAAATGGTTAGAAAGCATTTGCTTGTACAAGGACGCTCTACAGGAATGACGTTATATCTACCTGGGAATCCTTGATCTGTGACATATATTTATAAAACCAGATACAAACAGGTTTTTAGGGGAAAAAAAAAGGACTGTCAAAAAGCATGTTGGAGGATCAGCATGTTGACAAAAGCACTGTTCAATCATATCAGTTGATGCTAATGTAATTTTGACAGGAATGACAACATACTCATTTACAGTAAATTATTTTATGGATATATTTTGTTAGAGAAGGGCCTATTATACTTGATGCAAATATGCAATCCCTACTGAAGATAATTTACTGTTAAAAAGGCAGTACAACCTAAGATGTTTAGACTGCAGCTTTAGCCCAGGTAGAACAATCATAAAGACAACCATAATATTTTAATCCGTAATATTTCCATTTACTAAGTTCTTGCTCTCACACACACACAATATACAACGTAGTTTAATGTCAGTTTGGGGAGTACCTGTATGTATACTTACATATAGACAAACATATTTGCGCTATCCTTTTTTTGGCCTTAAAATAACTCTGCATTGAACATCTCCATTTTCTTTGGCTACCCTTTCATAGAAACTATTTTTTTCCAGCACTTGTCCCTTTAAATTCAACAAAGAAAACAGCTGTTGTCCTAAAGCAGTTATTTAGCACCTGACTCCTCCTCAATTTTTCTTCCAGTAAGAATTCCCATCCATGTTTCTCTTACTGCTCAAAATATAACACAAACTCTCACCTACCTGTTGTTGCAACTCCTGGAATGGTTTTTGCAGCTAAAAATAGGTCATCTATGGGATCTACTAGATGTTTAATATTAACTTTCCTGGCATTGTAATAATTGCCATCAGCAGCCATCCCAGCACGCTCTATTGCTATCAGGTGATCAAATCTGGTCAGATACAGAGTGAAAAATTAGTTAAAAGAGAGGAGTTAAAAGCTTCAAACCTTACTTAATGAAGTCTGGTAGCGATTTCTTTTCCTATTGCTCTTGTTTCTGTTTTCTGACCATTTGGGAGTTAAGGTAAAACTTGAATGCATTTTTATTTTATTGTTACTTATTTCTGAATGTAGTTCTCTGCGGTTTATTTTCAAAGGATAATCTAGTGTCCTTATAGCTTTGGAGCAATTACTTCAAATTGTAATTGATACTAATAGAGAGGTTTGTGAAACCATTCTACTTTGCAGTATTTTGGGTTGGCTATTTAGCTTTGCTCTGTTCCATGTTAAGTAATAAGTACTATTTTTCAGAGTACTGTTCTTCATAAATGTTTTCTAACAAAGCAAAGAAAAATAGTTCAGTAATAATCTAAATCCACATTAGTATACGTAAGATCTTCATTTAAAATGTATTGCTTAGTGTTTTTTATTTCTGATGCTTTAGTTTGTTTCTAGAGTCTTTTGGTGTTTGCGCTTGGGATTTTTAATTGGTTGATTTGATTGATTTCAGTCTGCAACTATTTTGCTGGTTATTGAAGTGTATAGAGGTATTGTGTAGATGTGCTGTTTTGAAATCTTGTAACCAGTTCCACCGCTATATGTTAGGTTTAACCCTTCCTTTTGTCCAGTTTTACTGACTAGAGACTACCAATTCTGTTGAATTACTTAATGCTTTTGTGGGGGGTATCTACAGTGACCTAAGAGACTTTGAGAAGTTGTGTACTCTAAAAGAATTATTTTAGCTTTTGAGGACTGTTGAATCAAATGAAATAGAAAAAGCTGTAAATTATGCTTAGCTATGTTTAAAAAAATCTTTTTAAAACTATGCATGAAAATTGAAGCCAATATTGTATTAAAATCATAGCTGATCTATAGAAAGAAATGGGAATGGAATGAATTGACAAAAAAAGAGCTTTTTTTTTTTTGACCAATATGTTCTTATTTAAAAGAAATGTAAATTGCTGACCAAGTAAAGATAGAGGTGTAAAACTTTAAAACTTTCTAGAAAACTCTCTACTACATTAACCTTAATCAGACACTGATATAAATCTGAAATTTTGCCCAACACTCTATTCTACAATGAATGTGCAAATAATTCAAAAGAATATTCAAAAGTGCACACGTACATTTCTAGCTTTGGCCATCTACAGATGATAGGGCAATCACCTTTGGAGTATTAAAAACATTTGGCAAAATTAACTAAGCCAGATGAGAGTTCTCAGTTGTCAGATTGGAGCCAGAAGCCCAGAAAGCAAACTCAAAAGTTCATTTTCTAGATCTTTCACTGACTCTAATGTGATATTTAACTTTTCTGTGTCCTAATTTTTCCATGGTTTTGCATACCAATAAAACAATATGTAATACCCAAAGGTGTATTTTTATGAATGACATCAGTAAAGCTTTTAGAAATATTTCAAAGGTAAAGTTTTACTTAAATACAAAGTATTTTTTGTTTGTTTGCTTTTAAAACTTCAGAAATTCATAATCCCAGAATAACATAGAATTTGATACTCTACCAGCATTGCACTTGGAATTTTTTCATAGTTTCAAATCTTACATTTTCAAGGATTTGCTTGCAACTGTTATGCCTTCTTAGTTCTTTTTTTTTTCCTTTTTATTATAGTTTCACATAGACATGATACCTGTTCTTTAAAACAAACAAACATACCTAGGTCTTCCACAATTCCCATTCTCACACAAAAACATCAAAGCTGAATCTGTACTTTCCTTTTGGTAACTCAGGAGAGGGATAGGTCTCTTCAAGATTCCTACAGAAAATGTAAATACCATGTGTCACTCTGGTGCCTGCTCAGTAGTGTGCGTTTTCTGGTTTGGTTTTGTTTTTTTGAGGCAGAACAGTTAGCATAAAGATAACACCAAGAGTTTATCAGGAACAAAACTGTATGGCTACTTTAAGTTAACCTAGTTTAGTTAGTACTTGTATAGTGGACCTCTGGATTTAAAAAAAAAAAAAAAAAAAAAAGTCTGGAATAAGAACAGCTTCTCAGAGGTCATCGCAAACATCTAATTCGGAATGAATTCCAGATATGTAAGCCCTAAAATGGCATCAGATGGATTCTAACAAAATAATGGAATCATAACAATGCTGCTACTTTTTACCTTTTACTTTTTTTTTTTTTTTAATATATATATATGTGTATATGTTTAGCTTGGAAAAATCATGAACTAATATAAAGTGAAATTACACTAAAGGAAACATTGGCTCAAATTAGTAAGATAAAAGCTTGAAAACTGTGTTCCTCGAATAGCTCTATGGTTTACCTAGTTGAACGGCCTCTGCCATAATCTTCCTGTTCAGACTCATGGCTCGCTGATCTGTTACTATGGCAACATCTTTCTCCAAGGCCTGCAACATGGCTGCAATGGCAAAGGCTCCTGGGGGCCCATCGTTCTCCTCAGGCGGCTCATAAGTGAAGTGGGTAGGAAATCCAGTTGTTATCAGCACTGACTGAGCGTGGGAAATGGACAGGCAAGACTTCAGCAGCTCTTCCTGGTGTTGTAAATGAATGATACCTCTGTCTCCTAAAAAAGATAACGTTAAAGAACCTTTTTTGCAGAGGGCAGTATATTGAAGTTTGTCTTGGTCAATCTGTCTGCTTAGTGACACCTTAGTGACATAAAATGGGTGTGTGGAGGGGAAATCAAGACAGTTCAAGCCAGGAATTGGGTCTGTTTCCTCAGGAAAGCTGGGAAGGTGTAGGATATGAGTCATAAAGTTAATGGGCTGGGCTTCCATATTAAGAAGTCCAGTTCACTGAATACTGGGCATTGGTGTAGCTACTGCCAGCTATTGGTGTAAACCATCTTTATTTCTAAGAGCTTATTGAAGATCATTTCCTCCCTTTTGCCCTCTCTTTTCCTCTGACCTGTGGTCATGACTGTGCTATACAGCTATCTATCTCCTCAAGATGGACAGCTTTCCAGATTCTTACAAAAGTTTCAGTGATGTCTCAAAATGAGCAGTTTTGTCTTATCTCTAACTTTATTCCTTAATGGAAGGGCCAGTTCCCAAATAAATTGAGCTTAATGAATTGATTATCCACAAAAACGAGATGAGAGACTTTATAAGTTGTCAGGGGACTTGATAAACTCAATTACTATGGTGGCACCTAGGTGACTACTAGAGGATCTTGTTATACCTCATAGCATAGACAGCCACATTATCTGACCTTCCAGAAATATGAGTTTTTCTTTCTTCTTGGGTCAATGCCCAAAGAGACAACACCATATATCTGTGTGTTTCATTATTCCAACCTTTCCTAGCCTCTTTCCCGTCCTTGGCATTCAGAAACTCAAGTTCATGGTGCAGTCTTTTAGACTAGCTACCATTCATGAAAGCCATGAACACCAGAAGGATATGCTGATATTCATGGCCTGATAGGCAGAAACAAATCCTCAATACAGATTTTGGTTTTGCCTCCTCATTCTCCTCACCTTTTTTTTTCATCTACTTTACTTTCTCACCCTCAGTTTCCCCTTTGTTTATTCTTTCCTTCTTCCTCCATAATACAGAACCAATAGAGCTAGTGTAATTCACCATACATATTCTGAAATACTGTTATAAAAATGTCAGGAAAAAAAACAGATTCAATTAACTTCTCTAGATGCTGCTGGTGTACAAGTGAGGAAAAACACAAGCATCAGTCCTAATTAATTCTAGAGAGGAAAATCATTGTGTGCATCATGAATAATGCATTGCCATGTGGCTACTGAAGTAAGTTTTGAACAAAGCTTAAGCAAGAGAAGCAGCGTATGTTAGACTCTAGTGGGGCATAGTAACTGAGATCAAGTACTATGTAAATAAGCTACTTTCCTTTACCAGTGAAAAAAGTTAACTCTAAGGGCCTGTATTTCTGCAGAGCCTGGCATTATGCCATGCTGAGCTCCAGAGAGTTGGAAAAGGAGAGGCCTTGTAAGTAAAAATAAACAAATCCAAACATGTACACAGAGCCCAAACACTGAATTTGGAAGACCTGGGAATAAGCTACTTTCTATCTACTAGTGCCTACAAAGTATTTTAGAAAACTTATGTGAAACTCAGATTAAAAGTTATAGAAGACAGAGGGAAATAATTCAATGTGTATTTTATGAATGGTTGCACTATTCATTATGCCTTTTGATCCTAGTTCTTTATTTCCCCTCTCCCTTTCACCCTATCTTTCAACCTTATGTGGCAATCAGGTTGCTTTGGTCCGTCATGCAACATCTCGGTGACAAGTTAGCAAACACAGCTTGATGTAATTTCACTACTGGAGAGGGATATTGGAAAGGCACATGCAGCTTCTAGAATTTTCTACAGCAGTCATGAGTGTATATAGAAAGAAATTTGCTCTTCACTCAACAATAAATGCCTATTGTGCTGCTCTCAACATGCTGAGGTGCCCTATACTTTATATATTCACAATTACAGTTTTATTCAGTAAGAGTTCTTGTCTTTCACAGACTCCCTCAGTCTGAAAGTACTGATGCTTCCATGTCCTTTGAGTGGCAGTATACACTCATCAAAATTTGATGCCCTATTTTCCCATTAAAAGGTTTTTGCCAAATTCTGATATAAAATACAGTAATGAAAAGTAAGAGCTAACTATATTAACACACTGCAATCCACAAAGGATTTTTTTTAATCTTAAAATTGCATTTAGATTCTTGCTACATTCTTGAACTTGGTAAATACCCAAATTTTATCTAGATCATATTGTCTTCATAACAAATACATCAGAAGAGGATAATTTTTGTCTTTACCTGGATCTATTCCAATTAGGCTTTCTAGTGTATTTATCTTTTGTGCTGCTTCTGCTGATACAATACTGTAATGCAGAGGATCTTGAGAAATGCAGTGGACTTGTGGAACTTCTCTTGAGGACCCAACTGCGGCTTCATTGTTCTTTAGGTCGGTAATGAACATGCAGCCAGGAGAATGAGTAAAAGCTAATGGAGATCCTAAAACAAGCAGGGAAAAAGAACTAAGCAGCTTGTTAATGCAATATTTAATATATCAGCATGATTTAAAAAATACGGAAAGCTTTGTTTTAACAAAACACAGAATCACTGACTGATGGTGCTTATAGCATAAAACAGGGAATAGTCTGAGACACAATGCAGAAGTAAATGTAAAATCTTGGTGAAAGATATGTCCGCATATACATCCGTAAATATATTTTCATGTTTAAAATGTTCATGCAGATGGTTGATATCAGATTTGTATCCCCTTGTATAGGAGCTTGAAGCAGCTTTGGAACTGAACAGTAGTAACCTCTTGTGAAGTCAATGGGAAATTGGCAGCTATGAGAATTAGGTTCTACATGCTTTAAATGCAGCATGAAAAAAAAATGTAGCACTGACATAAGAACAGGTTAAGCTGCGAATGTCTGCAGTGTGTTAGTGGTATAGTTTCTAGAGGGGAAAAAATATTTATTTTCTAGTTTCTAGAACTTTGCTGAAAGCTGCAGTGTCTCTGCACACGTGAATATTCTTTTAATACAGGGATATGACAAAATTGTCAATTACTGCCTGCTGCGTAGGAGTAGTCCTTTATCAACTTAAGAAAATAGGGAATAGCTTATTTGCACCTAGTCTTGCCTACCTAGCTAGGAGAGCTATAAACTGTAGTTGGCAAGGATTAATGACAAAAGCTTACCAGTAAGCCTTAGCAAAGGCAATCTCAGTAGCATCTAAAAGGCTGGTGAAAAAGCTTATGTAAACATGACAACATAATAGGTTCCTATGCTGAAAATATATATTTTTTTCTTTATACTGATACTAGAAGTACAGGGGAAAAACAGAAAGATCTGGAAGCCTCAATAAATGATCTGTAGATCATATTTATTTGGCTAGATTGATATGTTGCTGGATAAATTGCATGAGTGGTATACTCAGTAGAAGTGTAGTGCTTGTTTAGGATGGGAGGAAAAGGAAGAATGTGTGTGTGGTTTATGTAAAGTACAGGAATGGGTGGCAAGTCAGGATTTTAAATACCTAGCTCAGAAAGGAACATAGCAAATTACAGAATGTCTGACAAATTCTTAGAATCTCTTACAGTATTTTATTAATTCCAAAAAATGGAGAAATCAACAATTGCATAAATGCAGGATAGATCCTTGAAGAAGTCAGAGCTTCCACTATACAGTGTGTCACACTTCAGCAAGAGCTTCCTTTAAGGTGAAATTATTTCACAATTAAAAAAAAAAGTCTTTAGCTAAGCCTGATAATCAATCAACTCATCAAATTCATATGCTTTTAAACAAATAAATACACGTTGAAGTGCAATTTTAAGTCTGCAAAGATAGTACTTACTGCAGTTGATGATTGCTTCTATTCCTGTTACTCCACATGCCCAAAACACTGGAATATCACCAGGGTGAAGGTGAACTGGATCTCCATAGTCTGGTTTGGAAAGGTCTTGTATTCCCAACAAACCTGTCATTGATTAACCATGAAATCACTGTAGATTCTTCTTAAGCAGTAATGTTATAACTAGAAGAGTATCTCAATGACAACAAGCCAGAATTGCAGCAGCAAACCCCACTGAAGTGGCATATTTTGTTGCCTTTGACCGTATATCCCTAAAGCATGAATCTTGTTTGTTCTCTTCCCCCTTTTCCTTTTTGTACATGACAACATCAGCAAAAAACTTAAAGCCTATTTCCTGAATTTGTTGCAAAATATAAGCCAGGTGTGTATGATTTTTTTTTTTTCCCCAAGATATTGTGTCTTCTCCTTCAACAGAAGAGTTATATTCATAACACTGGCAAACAAGAATAAATTACTTGAGTGGAAAATGGGCTCTTTCTAGAACACGCTTTCTGTTGCTTTAGGTTCATACCTTCTTCAGCTGAAGAGACAAGGTAGAGAGATTAGAGACCTCATTGGGTCAGGTAACTAAATCTCACTCTAATACAGCTTTCATCGAGTTGTCTTTTGCTTTATTAAAACACCTGTTTAGAGTATTCTGGGTCATTCTAAGCACTTTCTCTCTTTTTATTTTACATTTGTTCAAAACTAATCTACCACTGTCTTTTCCGAAATTTATATAATCAGTATACACAATCAATCTCCCCCTTTTTAAGTGGAGACTTTAATTACCTTAATCATCTTGTTGCTCTATTATGAGTTTTCTCAAATCTAAGCAGTGGGGCCAGATATATACTGGGGGGCAGTACTACTGATGACATCCCCTTCCATGGGCTGCAATGTGATCCTTCTGTGTATACAGGACACAGAAGTGCAAATTCTGTATTGCCTTAAAAAAAGCCTTCCCCTCTTCTGTCTTCACCTCAGTTTCTTATTCTCCTTCCTACTGCCACCAGGCTAAACATCAACATCCTATTTTATCATTCTTTCAATATTCCCCTGTGGAGAATAAGCTACTATTTGCTTGAGCTGGATGCTTATAATCATTCTTGTCATATTTCTAAACTCCCTATGCATTTTATCCTAAGTGATGTGATCGAAGTATCTTATTTCACTATTTAAATATAATGCGGTATTTACTTTCACAGTTGTAGGTGAAGACATAAAAAACATCCACACATACTTCTCTCCATGCTGTCAATCACTGCTACTCTGTCAATCTTTGGCAATGAGGAAATATGCACATAAATGAAACTGCATGCACTTGAAAATTGTGGTTAGAATAGTTATCAAAACCACCCCTCCAATATAACTACTTTATTTAAATCAAGCTTCTATCTTTTATCCAAAAATTCTGGTTCAGCTAGTTGGAAATCTACATTTTGTTTCCATTCATGTTTAGGTTAAAAATGAAAAGGGTTAAAATATCACAAACGTATTGGTGTAGCTGTTGAAGTGTCATCACTTCCCCTGCTGCCACCCCTCTCCAAGTTCTGTGTACAGTAAAACGTGCAGAATAAGAAATGAAAAAACACTGACCAGGGTTACCAATGTGAACTGGTGCTCCATGGGATTCTTCTAATTCAGAGGTTGCTAGCACAGCTGCTTCTAATTTGTTTGCAGGAATAGGTCTCATTGTAACTACTAAGTTGCAGCAGAAAGTAGAAACACTGTAGCAAGGCACAGATGTCTGATAGTTTCAAAAAAAATCCAAGGTGTTAGCAGGAACATTAATATTGTAGGTCTCAAATTTGTGCTATATTTGAATTTAAAAAGACTGCATAACAACATACCATTTAAATTATTATTATTTCATTCATTTAGCATATCAGGCAAGTGTGCACGTAAGATTCAGTGGTGTGGAAGCCAAACATTCCATCTTTGAGCTTTTTAATATAATAATTACAAAAATTTAAGCATGTGTTAAGGTTTAAAATCTTGTTTCAGGGCATACAGCATGGTGAGTTCAATATATTCTGAATGTTGTCCAGAAACCCTGTGATTCCTAAATGGAGAGGGAAAAGATGTTGACAAATCTACTTTTATGAATCTGTACTGGAATTCAGGGAAACTCTGTAACACGTGAGAGTCCAGAACTCTTATTTTTGGTGGCTGAGAGTAGCTACTTCTACAGAAACAGTGTGGAAGCTCCACAGATGCAAAATCTTTTGTGCTTTTAGAAAAGGATAGAATTCATCCTTAACTGCCTGGGTTGCTGAAGTTTCTTTTCCAGTCAGAAATTAATCTAGCAAATTCATTCTGCTTTAAATGCCTCATATCTAAATTGTATTTGAAAATAAACAAAATATATGAAGATATCAAGAGCTGTACAGGAAATATTAAGTGAGAAAACTTTATTATCTAAAACTACTATATCTGTAACTAAGAAAGTAGTATTTAATTCTGTATACACTTTATTAATGTAAGTGCTATAAACAGTAATACTAATATACTATATAACTGTAATGCTATATACATAATTGTATTTTTTTTAAGCTTGGTAGAAAGTCTCAGTATAAGATATATTTCTTTTTTTTTTTTTCTTTTTAACTAGTGACATAGGGAAAAGATTGTCAAATTATAACACTGAAAACAACAAAAACCTTTGTTTAGAAGAACATCTTCATTAGCTCTATGAAGAAAACAGGTAGACTTACTTAAATGCTTTGAATGTTAAGGATCTATGTATTGGTGCCAGAATTATACCAAGGTTTTCACCTACAGTAAAATCCCCACCTATACATTTTTGTGAAGTAACCATCTTAAATGCCATGGAGGATATTAACTTTTTGGGAAAAAACATTTTCTGTCCCAGATGCCTAGATCTTTTGGCCTGGCTTCATAGCAAATATGCGGTTTAAAGGCTCTACAGCTGCAGGAAAAATTCAAAACATAACTTTCATACATGAGGAACAAAAACCCTTTTGTCATGCATCATAAAAATCACTCCTGTATGCTGGAGCTTGTGTGGAAAGTCGATGGTCAGAATTCTGCATGGGTCATCAATAGAAAGGGAGAAGAAGTCCTAAAGAAAAAAGTTACCATGGTACACAGGGAAAAACTTTGTCACTGTAAATGAATAACAAACTGTTTCAGTTTCCCAGAAAGTTGAGACGAGCACTGACCTGATGCTGGGCATATTTTACCCTAAATATTCAGGCATTTGGCACTAGCACTCTCCTAAAGATACTGTGAGAGTAGGGGTGAAAGGCCATGATTTCTGAGTGATAAGCATAGAAACCTGATATGAATATGGATAAATACTCATTGAAGACTATGACAAACAATTTGTCTATCTATAAATATATACTTTACCTTGTACATGCTTACGTTACACTTTTGTTCAACATTTCTTACAGGAATGCTTTTAATGCCAGCATTCTTCTGTGCTTTTTCAAAAGAGAAGCTGCAGCCTAAGTAGAAAGTCACCATGTCCTTGAGTTGTTCAGCATATTCCTTTAGACTTTTCAGAGATCGAGTAAAAGTTCCATGCTCATATAACCTGTACTGTAGGCAGTCAGTTCTAGTGAGGAGGAAAACAAGTTATCGCAGCTTTATTGTACTTTTGTAAGTAAAAAATGTGACAATTTGAATTGGAATTAATCCAATATCAAAGCAGAATATATAGGCTATTTTATCCTTTCCTTTCTGAGTAACAAGGAAACAAACACACAGACATGCAAAACAAAATCTCAAAACATCTTCAGGAAAAGAAGCCAGCACACTGAATGTGTTAGAAATATGTATCTTCAAGGTTTTATAGGTAAATGTTCCCTGTGGGTATTTTGCTTCAGGATTCAAAAGCTAGGGAACTGGTCAAAGTCTTGTTTTTAGTGTTTGTTGCGGGAGCACATCTCTTAAATCCCAGCGACACTACAAATATCACCATGACTACTAAATAGAAGAGATAAAGCACCATTTAGTTTTATAGGCTCAGACAGCAAGATTTTAATCATACACAAAAAAAATCACTTTCACATTGTAATACTGACATAATATGATAAGCTTCTTGAGAACAAGATGATCAGACTGTTTCAATTCCATTATATTCACACATAGATTTAATTCAGATGCATAACATCCCCCCCCCCCAAAAAAAAAAAGGAACTTATTCAAAACGTTCAGCAGCCAGCTCTTCTCTGAAGCAATGATTTCCTCTAATTGCCATCAGCCTGAATTTCAACACTTTGAGAAACCCGTATTTACCTGATATCAGAATCACTACTCAGAGAGGGGCATTTCCAATCTCCTGGCTGACTTCTGTACAGCAGTGGTAGGGGCCCTTTGTTGGCATGGCAAAACCTTTCAAAGTCATCAGCAAGCGACTTGTGCAGAATCACAACGTTTGCCTGTTTATAGCCTGAAAATGTGGAAGGGAAAACAACTGGTTGTTAAAACAACTCTTTATTTACAAAACAATAACATACCTGTATAGATGATCTGTAAATAATTCTATAAAAATGTTAACTGAATTTTAGATACAGACCTCTGTAATCAAGTTGCACTGCAACTGTTTGAAATATCTTTAAAATCACACCTAGATGTACTCTGTATGTGAAATTGTTTCTGGCTAAAACAGTTGGCAAGCATGGGCAGTACTAGAATCTGAAGACAATACGATATCTTTAATAAATATTTCTATGAGAAAATACAACAGCACAACTGCTTTGAGCTAAACAAATCAAATAAAGAACATGAGATATTAATACTACAAACATTGCATATTAATATATGCAAATTTGAGCACATACTGGGGGGGAAAAGGTTACTGTATACCTCACGCACCTTTTTATTTATTTTCAGGTGTGCTCTCTCTCTCTTTATATATACACACACACATAAATATATATATATATATTTATATACATATATTTATATATATATATATGTGTGTGTATTAATATATATCATGGCCAGTCCACCAGTAAACTCCTGGAATTCTGTCATTACATTACTCATTTTTCAGTGTTTTACCTGGCTGTGGAATTTTACTCCGGGCTTCATTTTAACAGACAAAATTACAGGTCAAGCCGGAGATTCAGCCAGCAAAAGCATTTTCATTTCAAGTCTTTCTAAACAAACAAACAAAACCTCTGAAAACATTAATACACAAACCATTTTACTTGTCTTGCATGTAAATACCAGCACAGAGAGGAAATACGAAGTAGTGCATAAAAATATAAACTAACAGTCCTTAACTCTCATATTAGCACTGACTGATCATTTTCTTGATCAAAATTGTCCATGAATCCCAAAGATTAAGTCATTTTCCTGAAGAAAGAAGCAAAGCAAAGGCTTAGACTGAGGTAAGCACATATTTGCATACTAAATGTGCCCGCAAAGTGTTCTCCTGGGAGCACTCAGCACAAAAATTCACTTTATTACTAACAAAAGTTACTAAATACAGAAATAGTTTATTGCTAAATATAGCTATATATATATATATTTGTTAAATAAACATATTAAATTTAACATGGAATACAACATTATGTTCAGTTACTCTTCAACCCTATTCCCTGCTACACATGTGAAATCCACAGGCACCTTCTGCTTTGATATTCAAGAATTCCTAAAACTATGGCTTTAATTAGTGCATTCAACTCAGGTACCACTGTATTTGAAATACAAGTCACATCTAATGCACTGGACCTGTCTGCAACTTCCAGGTGTCTAGGAGTTATAACCAAGCTTCCTAACTTTATAGAACAACGGAATCACTTTTCCTAAGACCCATCCTTACTTTCTTTACAGATAGAAAGATGTAATAGAATCTTGTTATATTCGTAGGATCATGTATGTCCATAGTTAAAAGTTTGAATTGTTTTGTAATTAAAACAGTTCTTCAAATGCTGAAACTACTGCATTTAAATCTAACACATTTGTGCATACATTCAAAAGTGCATTTGGGGCAAGCTGAAGGGAGATCATTAGCACTATAAAATATTTTCCATTAGTATCTTTCACTTTTGTGCATAAGAAGAAGGCAACCATACTTAAAAGGCTCATTCTCATTCTAGCAAATGATCCTTAATGTTCTTATGCTATAGTCATGCTACTATACACAGTAGCACAGTATACACAGTTGATGAGTTATTTGCCACAATAGATTTAGTTGTATTAAGGTATATTTTAAAGTTGATGACATATATTTTAAAGAATGATGACAAAATTCTGTTTCTGCAAAAGTACAGCTATGAGAGATGCAAGACAGAAATCAATTCTTCAGAAAGATATTTGGAAAGTATAAAGCTATCCTCACCTTCCTCACCTTCCATGTAACTCCCAGTTTCACTGGGTTCATGTCCAGATTGCACAACAAATGAAGCAGAAACCACTTCTACAATTACAGTCCTCTAGTTCTTCCCCAAAAGTGTGTTAGGCACCAAGTCAAGCAAGGTTCTTGTAAATAACACAGTATGTCATTTTATAAATGTGATAATATATGTATATAAACAAAGCCAGTTTTGGTTAAAGATTTTTCAAATGTTTTCTGAATTTGTAACTTCTCACTGGTTTAATGGGGGAGCTGTGGGATACTTGGCAGTTTTGAAAGCAAAGTCTATGTACTTTACAGAGGTAGGATGAAATATTTTCTTTAAAGTAACCTTGTGATTAAAAAACATAACCTCAGGTGCTTAAAATGTGATTTTTTTTAAATGCCCAAGTGACCTAAGAATGTAAGGCAGCTTGACTTTTTCTTCTGTTTTATTTCAGTGCTTTCAGTTTTCCTCCTTTCCTTTAAAGGCAAAAAATCAAAACCAGCTGTGAATCTAAAGTGGAGCCACTCTTACACTTTCACATTTACTCACCTTCTGCCATTCCAGAAGTATTACTAATACTAAGTCTGTTGCAGCGAATTATTCTTCTCAATGCTTGAGGAAGAAGAGATTTCAAGTTTCCTGTCCAAAGCATCTCTTCAACCTTAACAGAAGAACATTATATATATATATACATGCTTTGTGTCTAAATATATAACATATATATATTATATTTTTCAACATTTTAATTTCAGATTTTCTGGAGATCTTAGTTAAGTTTCCTCCTTGTGCCCTCCCTCTTCCAGCAAGGCTATTATCACTGGGGAATTCTTTCTTACAACTCAAAAGGCAACTCAGGGCAAAGGGTTATTTCACTGGCGCTTTATGATTAAACTCAAACTGAATTGTTCACTGAATTAGTCAGAGAAGTGCAGTTTATCATTCCAGAAAAAAGTAGAGTTCTTTATGTTCTTGTTTGTTTGTTCATTTTTTTTTCTTTCCTTTTTCCTTGTTAGGTATGAGTTTCCTGGAGTATTCACTTCTTGAAAATTTATTACTTGTAAACTGCAAAAGTACAAATGGATCAACCAACCAAGCTGCAATCTGGAATATTACTTCTCTGCTGAAAATGCTTTTAGATAATTAGCATTGTAACTTTGCCATGAAAGAGAATTGTACTCAGAAAATGTCATTTTAATGTTTCAAATCTATTGTACTTCTCAAATATTCATTATGTAGAAATGAATACTCCTGCGGCTATCTTTCCACTGAGAAAGCAGACATATAGATGCTTAAGTCATTTTCTATATAATCTAGAATAGAAACAGAAATAAGTACCCTAATTATAGTCAATCTCTGTGTCTCTTTCAATCTTTGGAAGATTGAAGATATCTCTTTCTGCAATCTAGTCAAAGTCCATACAGAGTCTTTTATCTCAATCTAAACTATCTGAAAAGTAAGAGGCATTTATTTCATTAGGAAAAAGTAAAAAAATCAGGATAAAACAATAATTAGATTGCTTATGATTTCAACACTGGCCACTTTTCCACAGCCTAACTTGGAAAGAACATGTGTCAACAACATGTCTCTCCAAATAAAAGAAAATGAGCTATCTTCCAAGTAATCAAATTACCAAGGTACCTCCAAGGTTGTCTTTAACTCAGAAGCAGCCATTCTTGATATCAGTCTTAAGTAGTTATAAATATAATGGAAGCTGTGCTCTTCCTTTAAAAGAAGCCAGTAAATTAATGTACAATGAGATGTTAGGGGTTTCTAGCAAAGGTTAACTTTTCTATTAAAGATCCACTGTGTTTTGCATAATAACTATGATGGTACAAGTTGCAAGTTTCACAATGGAGTAGAAAATACCTGAACCACGTTATTGTGAAATTTTTTACCTCTGAGCAACTCATTTGTCGCTTTACTTGAAGTATGAGCAGTGATATGCTTTGACTGAAACTTCCCTTTCATCATATGTTGTCTATCCAAATTGTTTCCAAAGCCTGCTGAATTCTGAGAGGTTAAGCCGGGTGCACTGAAATTTAGAGCAAGTTTTGCATCTGGTCTCTGAAGCATTTATTTCTTTTGGCTGATGATCTTATATAAACATTTCAGAATAAGAAATAATTTTGTTTTATAAACTTTGACTTACTACTTTCTGACTCATCTTATACTTTCTTCTATGTATCAGACTGTAGACTGCATGAAAAAAGTCTTCATTACAAAATTATGAGGAATTGCAAATACACCCTTCAAGGCCAACAAGAATTTGGATTTAGAAGTGTGGCTGAAACCTATCCCAGGCCTATAAGTGTCAATTTTAAAACATGATTCGTACTGGAAATAATTTCAAATACTAATCTGGTATTATTCATTCAAGAGGTATCAAGTCAAATACAGTGATCCTAATAAAAATGTCTTCATTAGATTGTTTCAAATGACTTTTCTTTATTTCTGAGTATCATTGGAATCCTCTATAAAACTGAACGCCTTAAAAGCTACTAGCTCTTTGGAACTACTAGATTTGGAAGACCACCTAAAGTTCAGGATATACCATGGGCCAAAACTGGTCTTCAGCTTGCTATATCGTCAGAAATGCCAAGGTAAAGGTTGGACAAGCCTGATTCCACACTCAAAAATTGGACTAACAAAGTATGTTCAGCTGGTATAAGCTGAATTTTTTTCCTTTAGTAGCTGTCAAAAAACCATGTGTGCCAATAGCAGAAGTGGAAGTACCTGCAGGACTTCATCAGCAAACATTTAAGAGCCTAAAAGTTTTAGGCTCATATAAGAGTGAGTGACTGTTGAGCTACAGGACTTTGAATACCAGCAGTGCTGAACTGCTGGCTTTATGTACCTATAGAAGTATTTGGACATGTAACTCTTACTTCATGAAAGCAGAACCTCATTGCAAAGCAATAAAATGTTACTGGTGAACTAGTTAGGACATGAATAAAAATTAACAGGCTGATTCACCTCTTTCAGATGAGAGAGAAAACTCCTCTTATGCACATTTGGTATCATTAAAGTTCCTGTGAAGATTTTTGTTAAAGAACTAGTGAATAATATAGTACTAAAATCTTCCTTTAAAACTTTATGCCACTTTATTTCCTGTACAATGTTAATACTAGGGAATGTTCTTGTTTTTCTTCACTAGTCCTGAGATTTAGACAGTGATGCTAAAAACTGCTAACAGAAACTAAATTTGGCAGTGAATGTCTATTTGACTTTCTCAGGAATGGCTAGTTTCTATGCACCATGACATTTCACAATGTTAGGGGGCATTCTTAGGTTACAGATTCTTTATTTCCAGGATCTCCTGGAAAATACTTGGAGTCACTATGGCCTATTTGGAATAACAGAGAAGAAGTAACTCGGGTCTTCCAACATCTACTCCACTTTATCCCACCAGGCTGCTTAATGATTGGTTTCAGAGGGCATTCAAACACCTTTCTAACTAATCCGCTCACATAACCTAGGAGAGCACCTGGAAAGATGGATAGCCCAGAAATAAGGATCTGTGCCTGGCACAGGTTTTTGAAATCCTTTTAACCTGTTTTGAGGTAGTTTCAAATAATGGTAAAATATTGTCACGTGGATATGTTGGATTATGATACAGACCCTGAAAAGGCCCTTAACGGAAGAGGCTGCAAGGGTGGATGAGACAGGAGCTGTACCCGAGGGCACCATATGGGGTGTGCCTGTTGGATGACCTAAGGCGCCCTGAGATCTAGTTTTCTGACTGAGTATCTTCAGTAGAATGAACCTCAAAAGCAGGCTAGACATAGTCCTGGGCAATTAGCACTTGAAAACCAGATCATTTACTGTCTGCATAATGATAAACTTCCTACTAAGAGCACAATTTGGAGAGGGGAAAAAAAGTAGTTCTCAATCACATTGCTCAGATTGGCCTGTGCGACTTAAAATCCTATGCCCTGTATTGCAAAGCTTTGTAGCATTCAGGTGTCAAGGTAACTTTTAAAGCACCCTTTCTTGAACATGCTGTACCATATTAGAAGCTCAGCAAATATATCTTACAGGTTTATGTGAAGACTCAATATATTTCATGTGTTTTGAGTTTTACATATCAAACTTTAATGACTGGTTATTAGAACATATTGCTGTCTGACACATTAAAATGGTACTTACCCTCTATTGAGCTGCAGGCACTATCATATTCTGAGCTACACTTATAGATCTTGGCAAGGAGCTTCGAGGCAGGGAAGAGATAACTACTTATAAGAATCAATGAGAATGCAATCATTTATACTGACCTGTGTGATTAAACAATGACGGTACTATGGCATATGCCATATCATTAATTTAACTGACTTGTCAGAAACAGTACTGCACAGAAATTACATGTTCAGAAGATACGTATTTAGAAAAAATGCTTTACTTTCTGACTGTGACTGACACAAAAAAAAAAGATATGTACCATGTTTTGGTAGAATTCTAAACAGATCTTGAGTCTGATTTTCTAAATAATTTAGTTAACTAGTAACTTAACTAAGTAAGTATTACATGACATCTAGATTTACTGTATATCTAGTGTAGCTTCACTGACTTCCATGGACGCAGGCAGATGCATATGATCTGACGGTTTCACCCTGCTTTATAGAGTATCCCATTATTCAGACAACAATCTTCAGGAAGGCCAGACGTGGAGACTGAATACTTTCATTTTTCAGAATGAATTGTTACAATGAGAATCTCTAAATCATTCACCATTTTCACGTGCCCTTCTCAACATGCTGGTTAAGTATTTGTTCCCA